CCGTCACCTCAGCCTTATCCCGCTCGCCGCTGGCTATCCTAAGGGAGTTTCCAGTTAGTCCCCTGTGTCCGGGTTCCTCAGCTGGTTGCCCCAAAGCGTACCGATGAGAGCAGCAAAAGCAATGTTGTAACTTTCTCCCGCCGCGGTACAGCCTTTGTGCCGCCGTTTTACACCGGCGCCTCGGGCTAGGCTGTGCACTGCTCTAGGCCTCGCTTCGATCCCACGACATTGGACAGCAGGTTTTTCTGCATTTAAAACACTAACGTTAGTTTTAAATTATGAATATATAAGTGCTTAAGCCTGTTAAAAAAAAGCTTAAAAGCTCTAAAGCTTGCAACAAATGCAGTGAAAGCACACTTACAAGCACTCGCTCTGTTACCTGTCAGTTCTCAGCCCCTGTGAAGGGTGAGGGTGTACAAGGAGCCACGTCTCAGAAAGTCACACTGCATGGAAAGCTGTAAAGTGAAGTATGCAAGAACACAGTCGTATTTTAACCTGTACATAGGTACAGCGATACATTTTCATTATGTGATCAAGTAATGTAATCGTACATGACTCCTTCTCCAAACCCTGCTGCTAAGTATACTTAAGGTAAGGACTGTGTTAAAAACAGAAAGCATTGAGGAAATGAAGATGTAAAGTGTGTATTAAGCAATGACATGGCCAAAAATGAGGACACAGTCTTTACCTCTCGGAATTATAGTCTAAACCTTACTGTTTAATGGGTATAGGTGGTTTATTACTATCGATTTGACAGAAACCCAGGAAATTGTTGAAATGTAACTTTATTGATACCCTGAAGTATATTTTGGTGTTCCTTTGTGGAAGTTACTAAAGTTTCACTTAGTCGAGGCAGAGGTACTGTCATGCTTACATTCATTTCTTTTAAATCTTTCAAAAACTCTGAGAAGCATTCTTACTCTTTCAGGCGACTGAATGCAGAATTAGAAGCAAAACCAGAAAAATTAGTGCGTCAAGCTGAAGAAGTAATGGTGAGTACGTTATGCAGACTGTTACATAATTTAGCCTTGATTCACGTGCATACAGGGCCAAGTTTCAAAAGAATTTTAGACCATGACAACTAAAAGTATTTTGGTTTCAAATGCAATCTAAGCTTTTCATTTCTTTTTTTAAAAATTGTAAACTTCTACTAAAAACACATCCAATATAGTTTTTGTATCATTTCATCAGGTACGTAGATGTTCACACAGATGCATAGAGCATTTGTGCAGATATATACATAAAGCCACATGAAAAACTTGTTTAGTTGTTTAAGAAAAGTATCTGTAGGTGGGTTTATGTCTTAAATAGTAAAAAAAAAAAAATTAGTATTTGAAAACCAGATACTGTTGCAATAGCATCCTAGTGAAATAGGATCTACATTGTTCAAGCTGAAAGAAATTCAAAGAATAAGCAACATAAATAGAAGATATGTGGTTAGTAAGAAGGAAACTTTCTTAAAACAGAAAAAATACTGGTTTATTGCCAGTATTATCTTTTAACATTGGTGTGGCTGTGCACCAGATAGAGTCAAGTTTTTATATGAAAATTGGACGAGGGAATGGGGGAGGTTTGGTTTATACCCAAAACAGTTTGGAGAAGGTGTTCTGCATATTAGATACATTCATTGTAAATGCACTCAGTCAAATAAATAAGGCTTAAAAGATAAATTAAGTCTTCTGGAAAGCTATACTTGTATGCACTTTTCCTACTGTTGAAACTTCATTTTTATGTCCTGTGAAAACACATTCTTCTCTTGAGCTGTGACAAACTGAGGCTAACTGCTCGGCATTTGAACAGAGGCAGATGAAGTGGCCAAAATAGCATCTAGTCTCTTTCCTTTAAAAAAAACAGCAACAAAACCACTTTTTTTTTTTTTCTTCTCTAAATACAGCAGAAGATCAGATATTCTTAGGACACTTAATATACCACATGGCACTGCCAGATTGCACAGATACACATTTAACAACAAAAGAAAAACAGTCTAAGTTTAACAAAAAAACAAAACACCAAACAGGACAACTGCAATTTGTTCTGGATTATGCTTTCTAACTGTAACTTAGCAACACAGAAGCTATCTGAACATTCAGACTGAATTATTCTCTAAAGTACGTACAACATATCAGTGTCCAATTATGGTTGTATTCGATGAATAAAGGTTTATTTTTAAGGCTTATTGCACCATATGGAAACCAAAAATTGTTCTACCTGCTGTGCATTTGCTACTCTTGTATTGCAGAGAAAAATGAGGGAGGGTAACGGCATCTCAGATGATGATAAGGTGGGCAAAAGTTTTATGAGCAAAAGGCAATTACATGTTTTGGAGTAGAAATAAATGTTGGATGTAGCAATGGCATTTTAATTTTTAGCCACCTTTTCCTGTGTTTGAGAAGTTCTTTTCCACAGTAGACTATAGTTTCCCTAGTAGACTGTAGTAGTTGTGATCTGTGATTTACAAATACGTAATTCATCTTTGATGGATTATATTCCTTCAAAATTGACTTCTTTTTTTTTTTAATAAAGAAGGGCCAACAACAGTCTAGACCAGTCTCAGTACACACTAAGTCATGTGGAGACGACAGACAGAGGTATGTGCTTTACAACCACTGCGTGTAATTTGTGGGTAATCTTTCACACTGATCCTGCACACCCTGACTTGTGCTCTAGTCATGCTCCTGTTTTATCTATCTTTGCAGCATACTGGATTGATGGAGTCTAAATTTTTTCCTAATGTTTGAAACAATTGATACTAAGTAAGTGTTGTTATTTCAAGGAAGTCTTAATTTTGCTGAAATGTTCTGTCTAGGATGCTAAGTAATGCTGACACCTGTAAAAAAGCAAGGTAAGGTAACAGGTTTTTTTGCAGTACAAAACAGTAGACACTCGGCAGTAGATGGTTTTTAACCAGTTCAGCTGACAAAGCGAAGAAATAGATACTAGTTCACATTTAACTTGGCCTAAATGTTCCTGGGACAGGAAGTGCTTGATAAAAAACAAAACAAAACAAAACAAACAAGACACAAAAACCTAAGACAGACAAACATTCAGCTGCCACCCTCTGGAACTTGGATATCATTACACTTGTGAGGCCGACATGCCTTTGGCCTGTATGAACATACATACAACTGTGAGTTTTGGCCTGTATGTTCAAGCCCATTAGCTCTGGAGTGGATACATAGCCATATTTACTGAGTTGTTCAGTGGCATTATTATTTATTCAGTAGTTCAAGGGTTTGTGTATTGATGGTACAGGAAGTGGGTGAATTTAAGATAGACTAATACACAGTTTATCAAGGATCTGATCTGCTAGGTTCCTAAATTTATGATGCTGCTAGTCTGGATAACAAAGATACAGGGTCAGACTACAAGGTGCTTCAAATGGTTAAGCTGCAGTGGGAAACTGTTTTGAAATAGTATATATGAAAGTCTGCTAAAGATGATCAAATAATTACTTTTGTGCACAGTAGAGGCAAAAACAAAAAGTGAGGGTTTTTTTTTGTGAACATAAAAGGGTTTCTCAGTACACAAAAATGTGTGACAGCAAACCTCTGTCTGGTTATACCAGCAAAAGTTTGCTACTATAGTTAAAGTGATTCCTGAGCTATTTTAAAGCCATAGCTGTCAATTGTATACTGGAAAAAAAAAAAAAGAAGAAACTCCATGTGCTATCAGTATAATCATGCTTTGCAAATAAATTCTGGATCTTGCTTTAGTTTTATGTTCTTTTTGGTGGATTTTGAACAGTAGGCAGAAGATTTTTAAGAACTTCAAACTGGAGTTGAGTTATAGGGCTATTTTATGAAGTAATGTGGAGTGTTCAGCCTCACAAAGGGAGTTAATAGCTTTGATTATATATACATTTGAAATAAAGGGGAGTGCTGGAAGAATTAAAAAAAATATTGGCAAGTAACATGTCAGAGTAGCAGCTGATCTGCCAATTACCTACATAAATTAAAACACCTTAAAACAACCACAGGCTGTGTTTTGGTAAACATTTATGTGACAGAAAAATTGAAATCCCATGCTGTAGTGAAAAAAATTAGAAATGTGTGCTAGGAATTAGGCACACTGATTATCCATGAGTGAACATTGAGGCAATTCAATTAGATTAGTTCCAAATATTTAATTAAAAAAAAATTTTCTTTCAAAATTGTACAGGCAGATAGGCCATAAATCTAAAGGAAGCACTTGAGATATTTTTGAAATACCCATTTGAAATTTGAAGCAAAGAAAGAGGTAGTATCAGAGGAAAAAAAAAGCTTAAGAGAAAAAAAACCAAAAAGTAAAAAAAAAAAAGGCAAAAAATATTTAAGTCACTTTCCAAGTCAGTGCATATTTTAAAGTAAGTTATTCTGGAGTTTTTATAGCATAATTTTTGCAGAGAAACCTGAATTACACAGAGACAAAGCAGCTCCAACGACACCTCATTGAAATCAGCTTTTGTTTACACTTTCACTCTTCAGAGCATTGCCAGGGTCATGGCGATGGGAACTGTACGCGCATGGGCAAGCATGCTATAGGCTTTCAATAGGATTAGCAAACACAAAGGGTTTGCTCATGCACATGCATCTCCTGTTTACATGCAGAGATGGAATTGTTAAACATTAGCTTCTGTTTCAGTGTTGCCACAATACTCTAGCTACTTATTTGTATACCTTTTCAGGATTTACACATTAATTTCGTTCACCAAACAACTATAGAACTGTAATAGGAGGTTTTAAAAATGGGTTGTCATGTATTGGGAAGAGGAAAGAAACCATTAAGCATTAAGGTTAAACACGTTTGAGAAATTTAGTGAACAATGAGGGAGTTTTCTGTTTGTTTGTTTGTTTTGCGGTTGTTGTTTTTTTTTTTTTTTTAAAGGCGGCCCTGAGACAGCTATAGTAGGATCAAATTAGTCTATTGATGGAAAGAACATTAGTGTTTTCTTGAGTATAGAGTGTTGTAGTTTCACATTTTTCAGAATAACATATAACTGCTATTTCTGTGGCAGCAAATCCTCACCTTCTGCATGCTCCTAAAGCTAGCCAATAGGAAGGAAGCATGCGGAAAATAGGGTAAACAGACAAAAACTAATCATCCTATTCTCGAAGTCTGTTGCCAACCACACAGAGATGATTTCTCCAGTGCTTTTTTTTTTTGGATTAATAAAATACAGGGCTGTGTGCAGATAATTCTTGTTGATGAATAGATGTCTGTGAAATTTTTAAAGGCAAGATCTAAATATTTACTCAAATCAGTTGTGCAAAAAACTTGAAGTGATGATGTGACCGAAATTTATTTTTTATTCCAAATCTTTTATAGGCCAGCATTTTAATTGAAATTAAAAAATTTAAAGAGTAGTAAAAAAGTTGCCTTTCAGTGCAATAAGACAGATTCATATAATTCATTCTGAAAGCAAATAGGTTTTATACATGACAAGAAACTTGACCTGAATAGTACACAGCATGCTAAAACTTTCTGCTTGTTTCCAGCAGATTTTAACAATAATCTTTTAACCTGAAGTTCAGTTACTAAGAAGCATGGTTTTCAGCCAAATAAGCAGATAAGAAAGCTGCTTTTTTATTCCTGGTTTTTTTAATCTGTAAAATGGATGCAATATTTGTAATATGTATTTGAGAGAAAATTCTGTGAGGCTTAATTTATAAATTGCTCCCACCTCATATTCACTTGACAGTCCCTGTCAATTGACTTGACAACAGTCAATCTGAGCATACAATTGCACTCCTTCTTAGGATGTAGAGGAAACTGGTTTATATCTTGATTTTCTTTGTATCAATTAACATATTTGTATGTCAGGTGGGCATATTAACCACTGAGCTGTTGGTGATCTTTGGTAATGGATTGTCAGTCTCTCTTGTTGAAGCTGATAACACTCTGCATACTGGCTAAGTACTCCCTGGTACAGGGAATCATTGATCTAATAAGCCAATAGTTGCAGCAATCACCTGAATTGCAAGAGACAAGATTACCTATGTACCAGAATCTGAAACTGTTGTATTAGATACCCTAGACTCACCAAGTGCTTTAGATAGCAAATGAAGTAGAATGGAAAGAGAATGAGACTGAATTTATGATTGAACTTAGTATATGTTCCCACCTTAGCTATATTTTTTATTCTAAACATATAGAATGTTATTCTCCCAATTCTGATGGGGGGTTGAATTTTTATTGCAAAATATTTATTTTGTTACACATATTCAGTGAATATTTATTTTAAATTTTTTTTTCTGCAGAGATCCACTCTGTCCTGAAGTTTCATCTCTTATACATTCACATGCCAAGGTATGAAAGTCAAAACTATCCTGGTTAATTTCTGTTCTGGTATAATTTCCACATATTAATTCTGGTTTTGAGGCTGTGCCACACTGGAGACTTACATGGGTAGGAAGCCAAAAGGAAATGATGTTCAAAGCAGTGCTACAAGGACAGTGTTACCAGGGTTTCTCAGTGCCACTGGTGGTTAAGTGGACTTACATCACGTTTAATTTTTGTGTTCTGAGTTTCCTCTTCTGTAAAGCATTTACGGAAGTGCTCAGTGTTTTGAAGCACAAATTGAGAATTCCAAGTGCAAAATATTAGTACATTTTTCATTTTGTCCTTTCTCCCCTTCCCTCCCCCACCAGTATAATACTAAAGGCAGTACTACTGTCTTCTAGATGTAATAATAAACAAGTAGTCAAAATAACTGAATACAGGAAGGGAAATAAAATGGAGAGAGGAGCTTGAGATTAGGATCAAACTAAACAGTCTCTAATCACAATTACATTGAATGTTTTAGGAGGTGAGCTAAAGCTTCCAAAATACTGTCTTCAGTTATTTATCAGAATACAGTAGAAAAACACCTAATTTTTGAAGAATATTTATTTGGGTGTAAGTAACAAAAGTATTGTTAGATCTTCCTTCCACAGGGAATTTAGGAGATTAAAATGATGCATAAAAATAGCATGTTTTTGAAGGTATGATAAGCATTTTTCAAATAAATGCACTCTGTTGACAAGCCAATAGTTAATATCTTGATAATAGCCAAGAGCCTTGCTTATGCATGAATTTATTATGAGTATGTGTGCAAAAACTCCCACAAGCAAATGACTATTGGATGCATTATAGTTTGGGCATACAGACAGAAAAGTTGCAAGATAAAGACGAGTGCAAATAAAACTGAAAAATTGTGCTTTTGAAAGTTTGAAAAGCATACTTTGAAAAGTATCCTTGAGTCTGAATATATGAAAAAAAAAAAAAAAACACAAAAAAAACTAGGAAAAAAGTGATTCCTAACTAATTAAAAAAAAAAAAATCACTACTTTCTGAAAAATTATAGCTAGCAAGCAAGAAGAAATGTGCTTCCGTGCCCACGGCTCAGAACAGACTGTACTCTGGAAGTAAAGGAAAAAGAACAACTTCAAGGTATATTATACACATCTCTTCGTTTGTAATGAAATATTTTAGTTGCTATTTTTGTCTGTCAGGTTATTTTTATTCATGTATGCTTCTACATTTATATGTTTTTGTATAAATAAATGTATCAAACTTTTTGTCCTCCTCAGTCGGCTCCACCATGTAGCTATCTTTGTTTACTTGCATAAAGCACCAAAAATTATTAGTGAACATGTGTGATTAATATTACAACAATGAAACTGTTGCTTTCTGCTCGAGCACTTCTCAAGGCTGACAGCTAAACTCTGTTAAGGCCTTCAGTGAAAGGATGCCTGATGAGCACAAATGTGAGAAATACATCATCCGAGGCAACATGAGAGAGCACACTTAGGTGGTGCAGACTGATTTGTGATCAGATTTGTGATAGGAAACATGAGGCCCTCAAGGGTCTTCTCTACTGTGGTGAATCTTAGGCTCACAGGACAAGAGAGAGTCAGTAAATAACACCACAGCTTTCAGGGGTTTCAAGCTGAAAATCTTCAGCTCTGTAGACAGTAAATTCAAGGTTATAAAGGCAAGAAATGGAGATCTGAACAAAAGAAAAAGGTAGAGAAATGCATAAAATCCTGGGAGCAAATTAAAACTGCCACAAGATATGGACAAATACCAGGATAGGATGAAAATTGTCTGCAAGGTGGCAGAACATGGAATTGACATAGGCTGAGGAAGGACTTGGAAGTCACTTATGGACGCTTTGGACCTCCCTGAGGCAGTTCAGGGGAGGCTGTCATGCTGGCACCACGTCATGAGATTTAGAAGTGGAATTGTGCAGATACAGGACCTGCAGGGTGAACCCAAATGTGGGAGAGGGCAGCTAGAAGGAGTTTGGAGGCTCTGTTGGGATGAGGATGTGTTGGAATAAGAACTTAGGAGCTTCAGATCCTGTGGGAACTAATGTCATCTTTTTGTAAAAGTAAGCTGAGGAGATACCCTATGTAGCAGATGTCACATACCTTGTGTTTTGGTTTGATGAAAACTTTGGTATGCAGCTTCTGTGATCAATGAAATTTCCTAGGCCAGGCATAATGATACAGAAATTGCAGTAAGGTAGGAGAATAGCTAGAGAGGACAGAGTTCTAGAAGTTAACATGTAGAGGGAAAAATAGCAGAATTTGAGGCAGAGGATAGTAGCTAAAGCCAAGAGAACATTCCTCTGTTTCTTTCTTTTACTCTGCTTTAGTTACGAAGTGGTTGGACAAGGAAACCATGCCAAAATCTTCTCAGTAGAAAATGGTACTGGTTGCTCTGCCTCCTACATTATAATATGTAAAATCCTCTAATTTTTTATGTGGAATATGGTAAAGTTATCTTCCATAAAGAAAATGAGAAAATGTCATCAATGCATCTTTCATATGAATGTGAGCAATGAAGTTGCATTACGTATATAACTCTGTATACTCTTAAAAATAGCAAATAAGCTCTATTTTTGTAATTTTTTTTCTATTATGAATTTAAAATCTAGGGTTTGCTTTTTTTTAGTTCAAAAATAAGAAACCTGGAAGTACAAAGTGCTGATGATGTTGCAGTACTGGAGGACTGCATAGATTTTTCCTTAGCAAAAGCAATAAGCAAAATTGAAGAAAAACTAGAGGAAGGAGGCTTACCAGATTGTCTAGATGATGGTATTATTCCAAGCATTGGAAATGAAATTGGAGCAGGTAGGTTTCCTCCCGTGGTTAAGTACTTTTATTCTTATTTTCTGACTGTTAGAAATGGGTTCTCCTGAGGAAATAAAGGAAGAGTTTCTGTAGAAATTACAGGGAAATTTCTAAAGCCCTTAAGTTAAAGGAAAAGGAAAAGAAGGTTTTTCTTCTTTATGTAGTCCTAGAGGAAGATCAGGTCGCATATGAATAATCATGGGGGAAAAAGTGAATTTTTATCTTGATTTCCACCTTTGTAGGAAGATACTTGGATGGTTTCATATGTTGAATATGTGCGTAACATTTGATTCATTTCACTGGGGAAATAGAAATGCATGATGCGAAGCTTGTATTTCCAAAAAGATGTGCTTCAGCCCTTTGCACAGATTAGAGAAAAAAAGCCTTTCCTCAGATCAATGCTGTGGATCCTAGTAAGTGGCTTAAATGAAGTAATGTTTTGGCTACAGTGCTTGAATGAGAATCCTCCAGATACTTTCCCACTCCAAATGATGTGTTTATGTTTGTCATAGAAATCAAGTAGGAAAGGGGACTGCAGCATTTGCCAGTGAAGCTAAAGGCATGATGCACATCTGTCTTTTTGGCTCTGGTGTGACAAAAGTGAGTTTATGTAGTTTCTTACAATGCTAAAGCAAGCATGAAGTCAGAGATCCACCACACTACTACAAAATGCCCAAAACCTCTTCTTTTAATCTAACAGCTTGATGTCAACAAGCATGCCAACACAGAAATAGCTTGATTTCTAACCTCCTGTAATTCTGTTAATAAGTCTCCCAAAACAGATCCTCAGATACCTTTTTGATAGTTCTTGTTCCTGAACTAAAAAGAAATTGCTTTGAACTGCATTGGAAGTTTATACCAAATAAATTCAGGCTAATTCGAGAGTTATTACTGGTGTCTAGTAATCAGGTCTTGTGGACCAAAGGCACATATTTGAGTACGGAGAATTGTTTCTGTAACTTTAAGGATGAAATGAAAATTCTCTGGATTGATTTTTGCTTTTAAAATTTTATATTGACTATTTAGAACACCGTGAATGCCTCCTTAATATGCTGAATAAGTTATTGCAGAGCATGCTAGCAGTGTCAAACTCACAGAACAGTTACAGTTTTCACAAGGAAGTAGACATAGATACTCAGGGGCTGTTTCTGTGGGTTATAATGCAACTCTGCAGTAACAAGCAATGATAGAAGCACACAGACACATAGAAGGCTGAAGATGAAGCTCTATTTTTATCTAATATACCCCCCCACATATGAGCAAAATACCTGAATATGTTGTGGCACTCCACATTAACCTTCATATTATTTCAGGAATTCAAAATACCTGTTCATTCTTGTAGGGTATCAGGGTCTCTGAAATGTCCTTTTCTTGCTTACCATTTCCTGAACTGTTGGTTACTTTATAACCTAAGACCATCCTATTAAGTGATACCCTTCCCCCTTCTCAGCCTCATCAGGTGATTAAAATTGACCAATTAGGAAGCTAATTGTTTAATTATCTTTACCACTTGTGAGAATTCAGACTAATTTTGGATCATAGCCACCTCCCAAGGCTGATCTGGTTCTACTTGTGCTCTTGGATTTTTCAACAGGCTTTACTGCTAAGTGCTGTTACTGGCACAGAGCTGTCTGAGACAGAAAGGGAGTTGTCTGTGGACTAATAACTGAGTAAAAGAGGAAACAAAATGGTAAAAAGAAACAACCAGTTTTTGCAGGTAGTGGTACAGCCCTAGAGTGATCTGTCATGGAGCTTACATTGTTCAATATACAGAAAAATAATCTGGAAAAAAAAGAATGATAGCTGGTAAAGAAATTTGTATGTGAACAAATGATTTTAGGATAGTTAAAACTGACATTGAAGTATTGTAGAAGAATCTCATAGTACTAAGTGAGGTGATAGAATGGAGCATTAAAGAGTGCAAAGTAATGGTGATTAAAAAAAACCACTCCAATTACACCTACTTCTGAGCTGGTCTTTGTTTAGTTTTTACTAATTAAGACTTCTCCAAAAGCATAAACTTATTGCTTGTTCACAGTAGAAAAGGCAAATTGATTGTTTGGAATCCTTCAGGAGATAACAGAAAACAAAATATTGTACTGTTACCACTGTGCTATTATAGAACTGATGCTACTCCATCTTGAGCATGACACACAGTTCTGCACAGCCCATCTCAAAACCAGGATGTAGAACTAGGAAAGATACAGAAAAGAGTATATAGTAGCAATTAGAAGCACGGAACAACTTGAATTTGAGTCTTCAATCTGAAAACAAAACAATTGAGGGCAATATGAAAGATTCTGTAATGAAAACAGTAATGGTAAAGGGAAAGCTGTCTTTTTGTAATGCAAACACTAGTAAATGCCACATTAAATTGGATTTAAAGCAAGCTATACAAAATGTTTTTCTTTCACATAATGCATAATTAAATTAGCCAACTCATCGCCACAGGATATTGTGAATGCCAAACTACAGTATGTTTTATGAAAGAAATCAAACAACTTAATAGTATAAAAGTATATGAAAGAGTATCAAGCTTGATAGCTTCAATATGATCTTCATCTCAGGATAGCTACTAGTTACCAGAAGCTAGCAAGGATGTAACAGGAGGAAAGAAGTCAGTCTGCATCTGATTTTTTCATGATGTTTTCCTAAATCCTACTTATTATTGGCCTCTGCAGAGTTACAACTTCAGCTGCAATTGACAGTTGATAAGGGAAGGTGGGTGAAATTAAAAGAATTCCTGTTACAGCAAATGATGCATGTACCCATCCATCCCTTCTCATTCGGCTCCAGATACTCCTCCTCCACTTTATTTTTTTCCACTTGTACCAACTGTGAATAATGGTTATTTGTGTGTTGCTCAGCTGGATCCTCATACTGTTTCTGTGCTTTGTGCCTGTGGAAGTTCAGGGGGAGTGCCTCGCGAATGATAGAGGAAAGGGTGGGGAATAGGGAATAAAAGAACATGCTGTTCACACATACCTTGTTTGGTCATGACAGCTGTCCAAGAGCAAGAAAGTACTTCATTTGGAAAAAACATTTGATTAAATTGATTTAATTTAAAACTATTAATTGAATAATGTTAGCAGTGTACTTAAAAAAAGCATAAACTACTGTGTGGGAGGGGCATTTACCTATAAGGAGGGTTTTGCAGTCTACATTTAGTTCCTTGTTGTTAGCAGTTTAAAACTGCTTTAGGTGTAACTAAACAAATTGCAGCTACAGATTGATTGCAATGTAGACATACCCTACAATAGTTTCGTTGAATTCCATCTGATGGAATGTGGTAATGTATAGCATAGTATGACAAAAATTTCCGATAAGTTTCATTTTTGAGAATTACGAGTCTTTTACATTTTAAAGAGTTCAGTCATTAAGAGGAAAAATCTATACAAAGCTTTGCCTAAGAATGAGAAACTTGCCGCATTTATTTAGAAATCTAAGTTTTTATTTGCCTATTTCTCTTTAATAATTATAAAAATATGTAGTGTGTTTTTAAAAACAAGAAGATGAAAGTGAGTTCTTATATCAGTCTTCCTTTCTGCATTGAATAATGAGTGCTTGTGGATATTAAATATAACTTCTTATGTTCACAGAAATTCAAAATAGATTTCTTAAGGCAAAGTTACGTGTTATGCAGCAAGAGCTGGACAGTGTAGTGTGCGAATGCAGGAGAAAGGTAAGACTTGAGTTTTCTTACCTGTAGAAATGGAGTAGGTTCCCCTTTAACAAATAGTCACAACAGAATTCCCTCAAGCTTTCCTTTTCATGTATTAAGAGCTAAGGTTCTGGTTTTTTAAATTTCATAAGAATTTAGAGTCAAGGGTAGTAATTTCTGTATAAATGTGATCTTGGGCTAAAAGCTTGTGAAATACACTTAATGAAAAAGAATTTGAGGCAGGAAAGAATCACTGGGAATGAAGACGTGCCCCAGCTGCAGGGACACTGTGGTGCTGCAGAGTGCCCTAGCCATCACTGCCAGGAAGGAGAGCATTACCGAAGCGTGAGAAAAAGGAGAAGGATGTGGTAGCAGTCAAATACAGATTTAGATATACAGAGAGAAGATGAGTGGTGCCCAGAGCTGGTTGATGAGAGGAGAAGGATGTTTATGGCAGAATGAGAAATAAAAAAGCTTGGGAAATTTAGTCAGGTGCTTTGGGTGTCCTCAGTGGAATGAAGTGTGGAAATAGCTGATCTGTGATCCACTTTAGGTGGAATATTGCAATCAAAACAGAAATTAGGCTTTCTCCATTCTCAAGATTACACTTGATGCGGAGGACTGGAATTACGTATTTGGGCAGATCAGACTGAAATTAAGGCATTGTGAAGCTACACTGGTATTTTACTGTTAGAGTATACTGCAAGTGAATTTTACGATCTACACTGGCTGGCAATATGTTTTCAGGTGATGCTCAAACATCTCTTGAACTGCAAAACCTTAAATAGTTTGCATCTGTCTGCCAGAGGGATCACCTCTTTTTCATGAATTTGTAATCAAGCAAGGTTTTTGAACTAACTTTTGATTTTACACAATTAGATTATTCTTAGTTGTTGTCTCTTAACTACAGAGTGCTTGAGTGCTTTTTTCCACCTGTTCCCCAGGCCCAAACGTGATGATGACATTCAGAACATAAGGCAAACTACCTGTATGTTTTCTCTCGAGCTTTTAGAGTTAAGGAGCAGGATGATATTAAATAAGTTTTTTGAGATAGGTACCTGGAGAAAATCTTTAGAAGGAATTAGATTTTGATATTTTATATCTGTACTTTGTACTTTATTTCATTTCTATCAATACAGGTAGTTCTGCATTTCAATCCTTTTACGCTGTGATCAGAAGAAAGCTGTTACATTAGATTTTAAAGATATTTTCATTTTTCAAATCAAATACAATTTTGTCAGTACCTACTGAACTTTGTCATTGCATGCCAAAAATGCTACAGAATTCAGTTACTATAGCAGATGACAGAAGACAACCTTGTACCTATTCTTGTCCTGCTCCCATAGCATTCTGCATGTAAATGTATAATTTTGGGTACTAGCTTCTCTGGTGTGAAAATATTCCATTCAGAAGGTCACAAAAATTTTATATTGGCAAAGCCTTGAGATAGCTTCTGGGTTTTGTTCCAATTTACAATCCAATTTTTATAATGAAGCAGTAAATCTGTTTTAAATATAAAGAAGTGGGAGTTTCTGAGGTGCGTGCGGTCACATGAAACTTAGGGTAAAGAACATATATTTCCCAGGTGAGAAGCATGCGCTCCTAGGGGCTGAGAGGACAGGAGAGAAAGACTTGTTTTCATAGACACTCCATTTCTGTATGTGCCTTGATTTCTTTTTCTTACAAAAATGAAGGGCATAATGTATCTCTGAAATAACCTACATTAGTATTCACTTATAATGTTTAAAAGGTTCGAAAAGAAAAATGCCTTGAAATTATAATGCTTAATGTGGGATGTAATTGCCAGTAGGTCATGAATCTAATACAGGACTCACTTGATGTTGAAAGAATCTTGAATACTTGATGTATCCTGGACCATTAGCTTGCTATTAAGTCAAAACCAGATAATCTCCTAAAACATAATGGATTGATTTATCAGTAATTATATTATTTTTCCCAGAATTTTTCCTAATGTGTGCATTTAGCTATTCTCACCAAAATGTCACAAAATATCTATGTGAAATCGTTATTCATATTATCTACAACACTGTGATAGTTAGTTCTCAAAACCTTTGAACTATGAGAAATTAAATGTTTTACATAATGCTACAAGACAGTTCCAAGTAAAAAACTGCAGAAAATTAAATAGAAGTGTTACTGTTTTTTGAAGTATTGTCCCAGTAAATTGGTGATTTTTCTTAGTTTGTCTTAGTTGTTTCCTTTCTTAAAATTGTTGTGAAATCCATCATGAAGGATCTAAACATTTTACAATAACGTAATTTAAAAAAAAAAGTTATCTCCATCGCATTATCCTACTGCTTCCTTGCAATAATTTCGGGTTTTTTTCCTAATTACTGTCAAACAGGATGATGAAAATCAGAATTTAAAATCTCAGCTTAAAGATTCCAAAGAAGAAAACACCAGACTGCAACGAACAATCAGTATGCAACATTGTCAGACTGAAAAGTACAAGATGTTGTCACAAGAAGCAAACAAAAAAAGTGAAGGGTTACAACAAGAGGTCATTGCGCTAGAAAAGGTATTGCAGATGTTAGTCTCATTTATCTCATGAAAGGGAAAAAACGCATCAAATCACCCTCTGTACCCTAGTTAGATAGATTCATAGCCAATGATCCCATTAGTGTTTCAATCTCTGATAATAGTTTTTAGAAATTGTATTTTTAAATAGTCTAATCACTTTTTTAAAGGAAGAAATAACTGTATTTTGCTAATTGCTTTTCTTCTGCTTCTACAGTCATATATTTCTGTATTTTAAAATTAGATTCTGGTGTAAAAGACCTGCAAGAGACAAAACAACCTTTTCAGAAACTGCTGTCAAATTCACAAAGGAATCGAAAAATACAGGGAAATTTCATTTTTCTGGATTTAGTTATAATTGTTAAAAATTACTTCTGGTAATAAGAGTTTTATTGTAAACTGTAGAACCTGGTGAATGTTTTTTTTTAAAAAAAACACCTGCAGTGTTTTTAGTATTTTTTGCAGGTAGAGGAACCGATGTGTCTCTGTTCTTGAAAATGGACTGTTTGAAAACCAGCTGCTCCAATTTGGATGAATCAAAATTAACCTGGCTCCTGCTGTAGGCCACATATGCAAAACTGTATACGTGCCTAGTTGTAGCAGATGGCCTGCATACACAGCGTTATTTGTTTGGAACTTAAGAGCAGCATGTGTTTTTCTTTAATTACTCAGAGCTAGAGAGGCTGACTTCAAAATCATCTAATACCTATATAGTATTGTGTAGTACATGTAACATAACCAGAAGAATGTTTCATTTAAAACTTTGGGAAAAACAGAACACAACTCAGCCTAACAAAGTCTCATTATACTGCCATTAAATCGTACTGTGCATTTGTATAGGCATGCTTTCATCTTGACGTTACGCAGTTCTGGCATTTTAAAACTAAAATGTTTTAAGTGTGTGCGTGTTCTTTTTGTGCAGATACTTGGAGGTTTTAAGTTCCCTTAAATAAGTGCCCTGATTGTTGATTCTGTCAGGAAAAATGTTCAGTAGTAGTACTCATACTACCCATCAGCTCACAGTAAATAGGGCTAAGAGATTTTCAAAGTCATTTAGTCCATTCTGTTAAACTGAGACAGGATGGATTCTAGCAAAACCATCCTGGACCTAAGTTTGTTTAAGCTGTACTTAAAGCCTTCTGTGATGGCAATTTCCATAGACAGTCTATGCTGGTTCTTGTACACAGTCACAGTGAGGAAGTTTATCCCAGTATTGAAGAGATGTCTGTTGTGACAAAAAGTCTACTATACAGCTGCCATATCCAAAATATGGTTGCTTTCCTCACTTGTCTTTGCTCTGGATTTACCATCCTCAGTTGCTTCAATTATTCCTAATAGGTTGTGTTTTCCAGAATTTCTCAAGGTTACTGGTCAGACATGATCATGACAAATAGTTGTAGTTCTTTAAAATACTAAGAAGGCAAAAAAGACAAGTATGCGTAATGAATGGTTCTCTGCTAATTCAGAAGTTTTGTGTATTTTTTCTGATATAAAAAACTATCTAACTGCCAAAACCATGCATTTAAAAATTATTTTGCAGTAACAGCTTAAATCTCCTATGGATTTAGCAATCTGAAAACCATTCTGTTCTTTAGGTATGAAGTATTATTCAATGCTATTTTTTATATTAATTATGTAGTTGTAGATTAAGTCTAGAAATCCATTTTAAAACAATCTCCTGTGAACGCAGACCTAAATTTGTATTGCTGTGCTGCTAAACTCTCAAGACTTGTACTGTCAGTCTAGAGAAAGTTTTCTGTATAGTTGAGATAGCACAAACGTAACTTCTGAATTTTGTGTTTTTATTGCTTTTGTTGCGATTTCTGTTGCAACATAAATGATGGAAGACTCAAGTTGTGATATATGCTTTCCCGAGCTTCTTTACGTTATCAACAATTTATGCAATTTCATTAATGCCTCGACTACTTTTTTTTTGTATCTGCCTAGGCAAAGATTCTCACCTAGTTTTCACAATTAACTGAAACATGGCAATTAGTTTGTTATTTTTACATTTCCTTCTCTTGGTGTTTGGTCTCTGCGAACATTTCTGCTGGAACACCCACTTCAGGCAGCAGCTGAATTCTAATGCTCCCTGAAATTCCATCCTCTTCTTTCCAGCATTCCTCTTTTTCCCATCTAGTTGATCTAATAAATGCTATCACCTCTCCTGTCTTTTTTCACCACCTGTCTACAAGAACATTGCCTCCTCTGTGTTCTCTCACTTGTTAATTCAAGCTAGCTGTAATGTTAGATAAAGGTCAGGGAAAACCCAAAGTTGTGCTCTTATTCCTTTTAAGGCTTTGTGCAGGGGTTTTACGATTTGCCTTGAAGAAGGGCTTGATATTAAACAAACATTATCTCTTAAATGTTTTCTGGGAGGAAAGCAAGCCTGCTGGGAGGGTTACTCATGGGTGAATTTGTTGGTGTCACAGCCCCTACTGATGTTCAAGTGCCTCAGCCATGCCAGAACAGTGGAGAGAATCCAGAGCTTGAAATGGGATGAAGGTTTAGAACACAGCAGGTTTTTCCCCCCCTGTTAGAGAAACATTGTATGAGAAAATTAGTCCAGCTTTTACTTAAAGTATTGAAGAACTGGCAGAAACCTTGACTACTTATAAAAATAAAATACTTATTTTAGGCGTTTTTAAGATGAAAAACTTGGGAGTCGAATATATTTAACAATATATTGTTATACCCTCATTGGATGACTTGCAAAAAAATCCTTGATAAGTTATCATGTGTGAGAGTAAATATCAACAGGCCCTAAAAGAATTATTAGAATTCTTTCATTAAATGATATAATTAGCTGATACATAATTTGCATTGCATGCAGACTATTTTTTTTTTTGGTCATTAAATGCTTGAAAGGCTATATTCTAAAGCTTTTAATATTAATGCAGAGTAAAATACATAGCACGAAAGATTTAGTTGAGTCTGTTCACAGCTCTATCATCTTGATACGAGACAAGGAGGTTGGCATGCTGTGCAGCTTGTTTTCTTTGGAAACATGGGGGTCACTTCCAGCAAACGAATTTGCATTCCCTGATGATGCATGTGCACGTGTTCCAGGCAGGGGCTCTGCTGCCCTACTAGCCAGGCTTTCACCCATCTTTTCTTAAATCAATCAGATAGAAAAGTTAGCAACAAGATAAAAATGTTGAAGCAACATCTGCTTTTGTGAACTCTTGGAAGAGGCACATGCACTAGCAGAATTTTGGAGGACTGGTGAGATACATCTTATTCTCCTGTTTTCTTCATCCATTGTGGAGAAGCTTCAAAGCTTCGCAGAAATACCTGCTGCAGTCATAACTTTACCAGAACGTCTTTGCTGCATATACTCATCACTTAGTATGTATTTCTTGGGTAAGTGATGTGGAAATCATAAGTAATCACCACAGAAGCTGGTGTGGAATTGAGAAAATAGAATAATTACTCAGAAATAAGGCAGTCTGAGGGCAAAAGGTTAAGAACAAGCCCCCTTTCTACCCTGATTTGGTTAAAAGAATCTTTCTGTGCCTGTTAGTAAAAATTGGATGGTCCTTTAAAAAAAAGCCTATTTCTTTTTCACAAATGACAAGATGTGCTCTTTCTGCCAGAACTGTTTATTTCTTCTACTTTGTCTTTTATCTGTATTCCCTGATCTTTAAACTCATTATTCTGTTCCTCAACCTGGTCTCTTTCTCATTTCCCCACTTACAGCACTATGAACTACTATCGTCAGAGACAAGAGGGAACTGTTCTCACTCTTGCCATAAACACTTGATGAACTATTTTCTGCTAGATGAAATAGTTGCTACGCTCAGCCGTCTTCAGTAGGCTGGCTGAGGTTTTTGTTGGTCATCGCATGTAGTAATCTCTAGGGAAAAGAAGTAAAAGGAACCAGTGGGAAGAAGCAGCTAGGAATACTAGCCACATTCCAAAATCTGCCACAGAGTGGACATACCCACATTTTCTCTCTTTCTGGCTGAGCATACAAGGTTTTCGTGTCAATCCTCTGGTCTTACATGATTAGCTCCACAATTATTCTAAGAGAAGTTTAAAACAAAGATGAGAAAGATCCCTTTTCAAGATTTCAAAGGAAAAAGGGATGTTTTAACAGTGGAATTAATTGTCTTTGAGACAGATTCTATCTGCAGGCCAAAGAAGTCCACAGATTCTTCAGTTTTTAAGGGTGAGCCTTGCCGTAAATATGTCGTCTATATGGGATTCATTAAAATACCATTATTTGTCATGTTTGTTTTTATTGTTTGCTTCTTAAATAGGAATTGGAGAATCTAAAGCGTGTACAAAAGCAGGCTGCAACCAGTCAGAGCGCAACAGAGGTTCGCTTAAACAGAGCCCTGGAAGAAGCAGAAAGGTATAAGGTGGAGCTGAATAAACTGAAGCAAAGTAATAAGGTACAGTGACTTCGGGAAAAAAAGTTCCAATCTGTAATCACTCAGTAACGCTAGAATGAGACAAAAGGCTTCATCAGCTTTGGAAGCATCATATCTCTTACAGACAATCCCAAAATTAACTCGGAGCAAGTCACCAAAGGGCTTGATAAGTTATCTTGGATGACACTATCGCAACCTATGCAGCAGGAAGGAATGTACAGAATAAAGTTATAGCCTTTCTGATTTTCCCCATTTGTATGAAAATTAGATGTGTTTAGAAAAAGGGAGAAGTATGTGGCTCTTATCTTTGAGATTTTATTTTCTTTAAGTTTTGATGTGGGAATATTTTGATTAATCCCATTTCTTTTCAGAAATGCTATGCATGGCTACTGTCTTGTCATCTTGTTACATAATGCCAAGTTTCATTGGTTAAAGCACCATTTTCATAAATAATACATTTCTCCTTTTCTTCCCATGGTAGGATGTAGTTAACCAAGAACTCAAAACAATTGAAGAATTAAAAACAGAAAACAAGAAACTGCAGAAGCAAAAAGGAGAGCTAATAACAGGCTTTAAAAAGCAGTTAAAGTTAATTGATATTTTAAAGAGACAAAAGGTAAGGACCGGAGTACTGTTCTATTTCCCTTAACAACCTCTAGCTGAATGTGTCTGTTGTCACGTGAGGTTATCCTGTAAGCCAGAGCCCCAGGACTGGGAGGGTTCAATGCAAGGGAGCAGCAGCCTCACTTTTATTAGTGCATATTGCTAACATTTTGCTTTATAGCCAAGGCTGGTCTTCTTTTGAATTGACCCCATTCCTAACTTGGAACATATCCTGTCACGGTGAAAGATCACCACTGACAAGCTTCAGGACCGAGAGTATCTATTTGTTCAAGAACAAATACTGTTCAGGTAATGACAGCAACTCCCTTTGGTGCTGTATCAGTAGAATCCTTGTTTTTCCCTCCCAGCATATTACTTGGCATACTGGCAGCTGTAACAGCATGCCCTCTCAGGAGTGAGCCATTACATTTTAGACCTACATTCTTCCTGGGTTCTCAAAGTGTGTTCTTCTCTATTGACATTGGTTTTTTTTACTTATATTCTGAGGTGTTCTGTTCATGTACACAATTCTGCCCAGGTGCAGATCTCCTTGTGTGTCAGACAAAGAAAAAAAAAGTGCTTATCCTAGGTGTTAATTTACTAGATTCAAAGAGGGGAGTTGATCTCCATCCTTTTTTAATTCCTGGAACATCATGCATACTTTGAATCACACACAATGTAGCAACATCTTTGTGGCTGCACAGGTGTTCCCATCCACGCTGCACTTGCAGCTAGCCTTATTTTGAAAGTCATTTGATTCTACATTCATTTCGTATCTCCCTCCATTCCTCTCCCTCAGGGCATAAAAGGGAGGGCAGGGGCTACCGCCTTTCAGATTCTTTAGCAGCTGAAGGTGAACTTGAATAGAGGATAGGTAGTAGAATACTTGCTGACAATTTGTGCTGAACAATTAGTGATACAGCTTTCAGAGAAACTCATTGTAGCAAAAAGTGGATTAATACTTCAGACAGTATAGCTAAAAGTGTATTTAAGTATCGTATTTAATAAAGCTTTACTGACATGCCAAAAAGGGGGGGTGTTTTACTTGGAAAGAGAAACCTTGGACACCTTATACTTCTCAAAATACATTTTTAGCATAGACCTTTCAAATGAGCTTTGACGGTGCAAGTTGAAAGAACCTGCAAGTTTACATGAAAGGAAATGAAAGCAAGAGGAGTGTACGCTAAGAGATATTGCCCAAATCAATTTTCCACTCTCTGATGCATTTCGGTCTTACTAGTTCCATCACACATTTCACTTATCAAATACTTGGGATCGCGAGCTATCGTTTGTATGACTTTTCCTTCTGAGGCCGCATGAGACACATGCAGAGCTATGGGCTTCACAATTCTGTAGACAGGATCTTGCCCTCAGAGTGGTTCACCTCTAGTGGCTTACTCT